GTTGGAATTCCCAAAAAAAAAGCATCAGGCTTCTTGGAGAAGCTTTCCCATTTTTTTTATTTATTATAGGTATAAGCCGGACAAAGTTAACGGAAATATAACGGAAAAAGTGACGGAGGTGACAGATGGTGGATGGAAGTTAGAGGTAAGGGCTATTTTCTTCTATTCTTATAGGTTATGGGCTAAAACCGTTATATTATAAGGTGAGGGGCTAAAACCGTCCAACTTATCAAGATAAGGGGCTATTTTTAGGCTTTTGCCTGAGAAGAGATGGCTATTGTGTGAAAAAAATTCTATTTTGGGGTAAGAGATAAGGTTGAGTGACAGACTTTAAGTTTTTCATTCATTGTTATATTTTTTATTAAGAAAAAAAATAATCTTGAATTAATAAGACATTGCTTGCAATTTAACCCAATTATAACCTTGTATTAATTTGATTTAATTAAATTTGAAATTTAAATAAATTATAATTCTTTAAATTTGTAATTTATATCCACTCATAATTAAATTTTACCCCACTTAACAATGATTCTAGGAAATCTAAAAAATTATTTAGGTTGTTACATTCACCCATTTTAAAAGGAGTTTAGTCCTTTAAACTCACCGGAATCATTGAACAGGTGTAGATGTTCTTGTTGCATCTTAGATCATGTGATTAATCTAGAGAACCTTCATGAAGTGAATTGATTTTCATCTCAATTCCATTCCTAAGTGTCTATAATACAAATCAGGTACTAATTATAAGAAAGATCATCTCAGAGCTAGATAGGCTCACGGTTGATGATATGGCTAGGATTGGAGGCCTACTTTTGTAACAAGTGGAAGATGTGAGCACCAACTATATTATGGGCTAGCTTAAGCTTATAAGCAACATCCCTAATTTGATCAAAAATAGCATATGGTCCAATATACCTCAGACTTAACTTCCTTGTATGCCAAATCTCATAACACCTCTAGCAAGGGAAATTTAAAAACAAAAAATGGTTACCAATTTCAAATTCAAGATCTCATCTCGTTCGATCAGCGTAGCCCTTTAGATAGCTTTGTGCTGTATGGAAACGTTCTCGTATCCAGTGTACCTCCTTGGAAGAATACTAATCCAACTCATGTTCCACAATACTTCTTTCACCCCCCCTTACTCTAATAGATAAGGGATCAACACTTATAGCCATATAAAACCTCAAAAAGTGCCATATGAATGCTAGACTGATAGCTATTATTATAGGCAGACTTAGTCATAGGAAGATGTTAATCTTAAGAACCCTTCTAGTTAAGTACACATGTCCTCATGTCCTCAATATGCCATCAAGAATCTATATGTTCCTTTCGAAATGTCCATTTGTTTAAGGATAGAAAGTAGTGCTAAAATTAGGTACTGAGTGCCTTTTGTAGACTAGTCCAAAAATGGGAGAGAAATCTAGTGTCTCTATTTGAAACAATACTAGAACACCATGCAGTTTGACTACCTCATTCATGTACATCACTGTCGATTTCTCAATGGATGTGCCAATCTAGTATGAAAAAAAGTGAGTAGATTTGGTCAATCGATCAACAATCACCCAAGTAGCATCATTACTATAAGGGATACAAAGTAAACTAGTGACAAAATCTATAATGATGTTCTCCTAGGCTATCTTTGATGCTTTGCCTTAACTCTTTAACAAATCAAGCATTGAGAAACAATTCTAGCAATTTTCATCTTTATATTACCCTACCAAAATGTATCTTGTAAATCACAATACATCTTGGTGGTGCCAAGGTAAACTGTATAGCTAATGCTATGTGCCTCTTCCATGATCTCACGTCTTAAAGCATGATATCTTGAGACAATTTATTGCCAAACCACAAGGTGTCATCATCAAATACACAAAACTTTTGCATATATAGATCCTTTGCCTTAACCTTACCCTTCAATGTTTATGTAGAAAGGTTCAATCCTTTGTGCAGCCTTAATTCTACTTATCAAAGTTAGTTGTGCACTCAAGGTAGCCAAATAAGCACTAGTACTCTCAAATGTCAATTCAACGTTGAGCCTAGCAAAATCTTCAAGAATCTCTTTCTAAGTGACAAAAATGCTGGAAATTGTGTTGAAGGATTGCTTACTCAAAGTATCAACCAACCAATTAACCTTACCATGATGATAACTAATAGTAAGATCATAATCCTTAAGAAGTTCAAGCCACCGTCTCTGCCTAATATTAAGCTCTTTTAGGTGAAGATGAATTTGAGACTTTTAATTATGATCAATAAAGATCTCATAAGTCTTATAATAGAGATAATGTCTTTAGATTTTAAGTGCAAAGACTACAATTGCTAACTCCAAATCGTAAGTAAGGTAATTCTCCTTGTAAGGTTTTTGCTATCTTGAGGCATAAGCAATCACCCTATCTCTCTACATTAGAATCCATCCTAAACCCTTTTTGGAGGCATCCTAGTAAATGGTAAATTTCTTCCTAGTTATGGGTAGCACAAGAATGAGAGCAGTGGTTAATCTCTCCTTGAGAGTCAAGAAACTTTACTCACATTCTAGAGTCCACTTAAATCTAGTAACCTTGTGGATAAGACGAGTCATGGGCAAAACAATTTTGAAGAAATCCTTGATGAATCAACAATCACAACTAGCCAATCTTAAAAAGCTACAAATCTCTGCAACATTGTGCAGTCATTTCTAGTCGACCACATCCTTAATCTTCTTGGGATCTACAGTAATTCCATCCTTAGTTACCACATGACCTAACAATGCAACACTTTCCAACCAAAACTCACATTCCTTGAATTTAGTAAACAAATTCTCTTGTCTCAAAATACTTAGAACTATCCTCTAATGTTTTTCATGCAAAGAATGTTTGGGACATAGATCATGATTTATTAGTAAAAATTACTGCAAAACTAATCAAGATATTAACTAAATACATGTTTCATCAAATCCATGAAATATGTTAGTGCATTTGTCAAACCAAAAGGCATGGTCAAGAATTCATAATGATTGTATCCAGCAAAAAGCTGTCTTTGGTGCTTCATTAGGTTTGATCTTCAATCAATGGTAACCAAAGTGAAAATCAATCTTAGAAAACAATTGAGAACCTTGAAGCTAATCAAAGAGATCATCAATTTGTGGGAGTAGGTATCTATTCTTGATTGTCTCCTTGTTCAATTCTTTATAAGCGATGTAGAGTCTCATGCTACTGTCTTTCTTCTTAATAAATAAGGCTAGAGCTTTCCAAGGCGACATGCTAGGATGCATAAACCACTTCTCAATGAGTTCCTTTAGTTGAGCTCTAAGCTCTTTCAATTTTGAAAGCACCATGTAATAAGGAGTCTTAGATAACAATTTAGTACCAAGAACAAGATCAATAATGAATTCCATTTCCTTATCTAAAGGCAAAATAGGAAGATGTTCAAGAAGAACATGAGGGAACACATCGATAATGGAATATCCTCAAACCTCAAGGAAGTAAAATTAGAATCAATAACAATGGCAAGACAACTCTAACACCCATTAGCAAGAAATTTGGGTTCCTATAGTGGAAATATCAAAACAAAAGGAGCAAATGAGCCAATACCTTGATAAAAAAACTCTATCTCAGCAAGAATGTTGAATATTACCCATTTCTTAGGGTAGTCAATGGAGTCATAATGTCGAGACAACCTAGCCATGTCCAAGATAATATCAAAATCAAAGATGTCCATAATGAACAAATCAACATATAACCATTTATGCTCAACAAAATAAGCATAGTCTACAAACATCTCTAGTGACCATCACTCCTTAAAAAGGGGTGTCTATACGGGCTAAAGTATGTGGTAAATTATGCATTTAGCCTTTTATCTTACTAAGTTTGAAGCTTTTAGCCCCTCACCTTACATTGTGGAGTTTTTAGCTCCTAAATTTAAAAGTTTGAAGATTTTTGCCCCCTAGATTAACAAAATCTATTAACTTTCCATTAAAGTGAGAATAAAATATTTATAGGACCAATCCTCAAAGATTAAAAATGTGATAGTTTAGTCCAAAAAATTTAAAAATTTAAAAAGTAATAAATTAAAAAGAATTAATGGATGACTTTCCATATACACTAAAATAGTACTAAATATTTATAATTAAATTGAGTAATTAGCTCAATTCAAAGAAACAAATTTGACTAAGATTGAAAGAAACTTACTTTATTGTATTCTTTTCATTTCTTGGACTTTTTGTCTAAACTCAGTTAGGAAATTATTTTTAATCTCAATCAAAATTCACTTTTTAGATTGAGCCAATCACTTGATTTGATTACAGATATCTAATATTGTTCTAGTATGCATAGCAAAGTCATCCATTAATTCTATTTAGTTTACTAATTTTTTAATTTTTAAACTTTTGGGTCTAAATTGTTATATTTTTCTTATCTTTGAGGATTGATCTTATAAATTTTTTATTCTCACTTTAATGTAGAGTTAATGGATCCCATTAATTTATTGGTTAAAAACTCTAAACTTACTAAGGTAAAGGGCTAGACACATGCTTTAGCCCTCTATATGCAACACAAAATCAACCTTAACAATAAGCAATACATATTGTTGAACATATGAACATGCAATAAAAGAGTGTTAAGCACTAGAATCAAATAGCACATAGGCGTGAGAGGAACTAATAGGCAAAGTAACTAAGTAGACAAGATATTCATCCAAGTGAGGTTAACAAGGAAATAACAAGAATAAATAACTAATTTGGGCTGATATGAATTAGGTGACCATGTTATTTGTGATAACATTGGAAGTAGCAACCTCTTGGTGGGTTATGGCATGGACACGTGCTAGTTGGTTAGTCTTCACTCTAGTATTTTGATTTTGGATAGTAGGTGTTTGTTGCTGTGCCTTTTGTGGTGCAATCTTAACATCCTTAGAATTCAACTAAAGGCATTAAGCAATGTAGTGACCTTATTGGCCAAATTCGAAACAAGCCTCAAAAAATAGGTGACACTGGTCATGAATATGACCAAGTTTCTTACAAGCATGATAAGTAAAGCAAATTCCATAGGCCAGACCATTGACATTGGCTAACTATCTTGCTCGGTGTAGGCCTAGCAAAAGTATTGCCTACACTAAGGAATTAGTTATTAATAATTAGACCAAGCATTGCCTCTATTAAATATGTAAATTTGTTTGCGTGTTACAGATGATGGGTTTTCACGGAGTAGTATGTAGGTTTAGAAAAATTTTCAAACTTTCTCTTTTTCCCACTTTGAGAGGAGGTACCCTAATCCTAAGTCTTACTCTAAGGCTGAGTCTGTCCTTGCATTATTTGTAAAGCTTTCTTATGTTCCTTAACATGGTCAATTGCCTCATGATAAGTGGGTTGGCAAGCTAAAAAAATTCATAGCCAAATACATGTTTGGTCTCAGGTCGTGCACAAATTGGTTAGCCTTTACCTTATTAGTTAAACATTTTGTAAATAAATGACCAATATCATTCAAATTCTACATTGTATTAAGCCGCTATATGATCTGACTGTTTCAATTTTGTGAATTTGAGTTGCATTTCTATCCTTACGCTATCCAATATATACTCTTCAAGGAAGAGATCTTTAAAGCTTTCCCAAGTGGTCATTTTGTTATCAGTGCACCACATAGATGCTTGCCTAGTCAATCTAACAGCTTTAACCTTATCACCGTTCAAGGTTGCCTTAGACTCAAAAGTAGTTTCCATCTCTATGAGCTAGGACTAAACTATCACCACATTTTTGGTACCCTTACATTTATTTGGCCCCACCTTTTGAAAATTAGCAAGTCTTCTTCACTTAGGCTATTGTGGAATGATTGGAGCAAGTACTAGTGGAGGTGGAGGTGGAGGTAGTACTGCAGCAACTGCCAAACATCTCACTTCAGCCATAAATTCCTAGATGAGACCAACAAAAGGATTCCTAGCTCTGTCATTAATTGATGATGTTCGCATGACCACATTTACAAGTCATATTCATATCCTTCACAATTTCATCACTTTGATTATAGTACTTCATAGGATTTTAAATTTACTATTAAAGATATTTTTTTGACAAGTAAGTATTAAAGACTTGATTGTACACTTTGATTATATAATTTTATATGTTTTAGTTTACTATTTCATACTTGATTTTATTAATATTTAACAAGTTGAACACCTAAATGTAATTTTATTGAAAATTACATGATTTTTATTATTTGTGCAAAAAAGGACTGAAATGCATGAAATTAGGAAATTTGAGATTTATATGCATCTCTTTCAAAAGGTTGGAAACCAAATTGTAATAAAAAGGTTAAAATTAAGGATTAAATTGAATAAAATTGAATTTTGAGGATCAAAGTGCACAAGAATTAAAGTTAAGGTGCCAACTATGTAGTTTTACTGTTAAAATTTGGAGTTTAACGGATGAATTTGTGATGCTATAATATCCCTCAATGGAGGGATCATGATTTGTCCTTTCTCTAAAAGTTGAGTGATCATTATCAATTATTTTAAAGTATAAGGAAGAAAATGACTCTTTTTGTAAAATTGGAAGATTTTTAGAGGCATTAAACCAAAAAAAATTTGGGAGGTTGCGCATGCTTCCAATATCACTATATGGGACGGAACACGAGAAATACTCTATATTGGTATCCTACTGAGATTACTGTTCACTGCAGTTGAATTACATTATGTTCTTAGCAAAGGTACTGTTAAATTAAAAACATATCATAGCCCCATTAGGGCTATCTCAGCTATTTGGTTGTTAAGACCTAGGAATTTATAGAGGAACATATGATAACAGAAAAATGTGAGGAAAATATATTTGTAACAGAACAAAATGTGAGGAAATATATCCGCAATAAAACGAAATGTGAGGAAAATAAGGCCTCAGAATTTCAAGTGGGAAAATGGAAATATGTGTGTTCATATGGTGGTTGGGTATTTCTGGCCCACAACACTCACTTTCCTTCCCACTTCAAAACCCCATTCGAAAATGATTGCAAAAAATGAAAGCACAAACTATCCTTTGATCATTTTGATAAATAAAATTATTTTTGAAGTTGTTGACCAATCTGCTAGAAGAAGGCTTACAACTCACCTAATTTTTCAATTTTCAAGATTTCCTTTTTGAGAAATTATCTTTACACCTTACAAAATTACACATTTCATTACACATTAATGGTTTTCATTACTTATATTGTTAAAATTGACGATTTTTGTTACTTATACCATTAAAACTAATAGTTTTTGTTATTTATGCCATTAAAAATAACGGTTTCTGTCAGTGTGTAATGGAGTGTATAATTGTGCAAAGTGTATGTATCATTGTCCTTCATTTTTAGATATCAATGAAACTAACATGTTTTGGTTGACACAAATGAGTCATGACTCAAGCATTCTTTTGTAGTGATTTCTCATAAAAGTAATTTTTCCTAAATTTTTTGATACCGGCGTGTAAATTTTTCATCAAGAATAATACTACTAGACTGTTAGTAGACACACTTGTTCCCTTAATTATTAGCAATTAAAGTAAAGTAGATTGAGATTGCATTTTGTTTAACTGATAATGTAATTGAGGTTATAACTGTTTTTAATTTGCTATACAAAAAAGATAATATTATTCTTAAGGCCAGTATCCAAATAAATTAATTTCCTTGAATGTATTAATTCGAAATGGGGGTGTGTTTTAGGATTACTTAAAAAAAGATTAATCTCAAAGTTTATAAAAACTGATATGAAAAAACACTAATAACCTTAAATATATATATATATAAAGTGAATTTTCATATTCAAATTTCAAACCACGAATTACTATGGGTTAAATACCCTTTTTGGTCCCGCTACTATAGGAAAAAGCCCCTTTTTTGTCCTTGTACCGAAAAAATTCCCTTTTTGATCCCTAAATTTTAAAATTTGGCCCCTTTTTAGTCCCTATGTTAAAATTTTGCTGACCTGTCATGTTAATTAACGAAAACATCTCACATGGTAATTTCAGAGTGTGATATGGCAATTTCAGAGTGTGACATGGCCATTCTACAAAAAAAGGAACATGGAATTTGACCTGTGTGGAAAAGGTTGACTAAATTATTTCATTATTTTTTATTTAAACAATATTATAAATGATATGAAAATTACGTTGATAATTATAAATGACATGGATAAAATTATAAATATATATATGCACTTTATCTGAATATTTTGTGTTACTTATACAAATTAAAAATTTTATTTTATTAATTTATGAATTAAACATAATTAATTTTAATTTTTTCATCTTGTTCTTCCTCTTCTTCTTTCTCCTCATCCTTACCCTCATCTTCTTCTTCGGAATCATCTTCATCATCTTGGGTTCCTCGTGGAACCCAATGCTGGGTTCACAAGGGATCCAGCACGAGAAACCCAGAGGAACCCAGTGCTTGGTTCAAGGAACCCAGATCTGGGTTCCTCATGAAACCCAGCACTGGGTTCGCGAGGAACCCAAAGCTCCTCGTGGAACCCATCTGGGTTCCTCTCAAAACCCAACATTGGGTTCCACGGGAGAACCCAGCACTGGGTTCCGCGGGGGATGCAATGAACCCGATGTGGGTTTTGCAATGAACCTGATGTGGGTTTTGCAATGAACCCGATGTGGGTTTTGCAATGAACCCGATGTGGGTTTTGCAATGAACCCGATGTGGGTTTTGCAATGAACCCAAACTTATCACCTGCAATTTCAAACTCAAACATCAAACATGATATGGTTTTGCAATGAACCCGAACTTAACATCTTAAATTCAAAACTAAATATGAAAATTTATTTTCATTTTGGATAGATACACTTAAAATAAAAAAGAAAAAAAAAATCAAAACCCAGCACTGGGCTCGCGTGACCCGGCGAAACCCATATCGAGTTCATTACATCCCCCGTGGTACCCAGTGCTGGGTTCTCCCATGGAACCCAATGCTGAGTTTTGAGAGGAACCCAGATGGGTTCCACGAGGAGCTCTAGTTTCCTCATGAACCCAGTGCTAGGTTTCATGAGGAACCCAAATCTGGGTTCCTCGTGCTGGGTTCCTTATGAACCTAGCATTGGGTTCCACGAGAAACCCAAGATGATGAAGATGATTCCGAAGAAGAAGAGGAGGGTAAGGATGAGGAGAAAGAAAATAGGAAGAAGATGATGAAAAAATTAAAATTAATTATGTTTAATTCATAAATTAATAAAATAAAATTTTTAATTTATATAGATGACACAAAATATTCGAATAAAGTGCTTATATATATTTATAATTTTATCCACATCATTTATAATTGTCCACGATTTTCATGTCATTTATAATATTGTTTAAATAAAAAAATGAAATAATTCCGTCAGTCTTTTCCACACAGGTCAAATTCCATGTTCCTTTTTTTTTTCACACATAAGCATTTTAACACTGTGGAATAGCCATGTCACACTCTGAAATTGCCATGTGAGATGTTTTCGTTAATTAACGTGACAGATCAGCAAAATTTTAACAGAGGGACTAAAAAAGGGTCGGATTTTAAAATTTAGGGATCAAAAAGGGGATTTTTTGGGTATAAGGACCAAAAATGAGCTTTTTCCTATAGTAGAGGGACCAAAAAGGGTATTTAACCATTACTATATATCACCTCCTACTAGCTATATGGGAATAATAGTCGTCAATTATTTCTAATAATCAAATTAAACAAGATCTTAGGGTATGTTTGATTTGAAGGAAATGGATAAGAGGGGACAAGAAGAAATTTTCATCCCATCTATTTCGTTTTATCCTTTATTTTTTAATATGTTTGGTTTGGAGGAAATGGAGGAGATGAGAGGGGAAGAGAAGGAAGAAAAAGATTTTTTAACCAATTAAATTGTAATATTTAAAAATATTACAATTTGATTAATTAAAAAATCCTTTATCTCTTGCATTTCTCACAAACTAAATATATGATTTAGTCACACAACTCAGAAAAAGTATAGTAAATATTGATAATTTCAAAAAAAAACATGAGAGAGAGAGGCAGGGATTCAGGTAACAGGCACCGCTCGAGGACAATACGGATATCACTGGGAAGATAATGGATTAGTAACCAAGAGAGAAGCCGACAGGTGAGGACACGAGATGTACAGCAACAGAGTTTGAACAGAAACAGGAAGGGCTCTGATGAATGGGGATACAACAGAGGGATATACAAGCAAGCCACAAACTTCTTCTTTACAAATATACCGGACGACTGGAGCTACAATGATATGTGGAGCACATTTGGCAAGTATGTGCGGATATTCTCCATTTACAGTCCACAGAGAAGAAGTAAGAGTGGAAGCAGGTTTGGTTTTGTTAGATTTTTGGAAGTGAGGAATGCTAAGGAGCTAGAGAGTCAACTAGATCAGATTAGGATTGAGGGGCGGAAGATATGGGTAAATCTAGCCAAGTATCTAGAGGAGAGAGGCGAGAAGGAAAAGGTTAGGAGGGGCATCAACGAAAATAAAGTTATTCATGGGAAATCATTTGCTGATGTTGTACGAGGAGAACAAGGAGGAGATCCAAGGAACACCAGAGATTAGATGCCAACGACCAGTCTGAAGTTTGAACCTTATAAGCAGCCAGAACAGAGACAGGAATGGAAAATGAAAAATAGAGAAAAAGAGTGGTCGGGTATGGAGTATACAGTAAAAGAGGAGGATTTTGAGTGGCTAAAGGGATGTTACATAGGCATAGCTCGCTCAGTGGAGATTGTCCCGATTCTGCAGGAAAGATTCTACATGGAAGGGTATTTTTCATGTAGACTCAGAGCTATGGGGGGAAAAATGGTCCTTATGGATTGTGAGGACAAAAAAGAGCTTAAGGACTTAGTGCAACACGCCTCGGATTGGCTTGGCCAGTGGTTCTCAGAAGTAACACCATGGTCTCCTTCAATGGTGGCAAAAGAAAGGTTCGTTTGGATAAGGTGCCAAGGTGCACCTTTACATGCTTAGGGCCCAGAGTTTTTTGAATCCATGGCATCAGTTTGGGGCAAGTTTGTTTGCTTGGACGATAGTACAAGCAAGAGAAGAAGATTTGACATTGCCAAGTTCCTCATCTCAACAACAATGATGGAGTCAATCTCAGTAAAAAGAAAGATTAAAGTGAATGGAGCCATGTATGAGCTAAAATTCACAAAAGAAGAACTCACAAAAAGCCTTTTTTCTCTAAAATATGATTTCATGCCAAGTTTCAATAGCGACCCAGAGTATGATGAATCATGGTCTGATGACACTGATTATGATGATGGTTGTGACGAGATAAGCAAAGAAGCAGATAAAGAGACAACCGCCAGCGAAGAAGAGGTGGCCGGAGACAACATAGAGTGCGAAGGAAGAGGAAGTAGGTTGGTTATAGCTCCTACACCCGAGGCAAAATTTGAATTGGATGGAACAGGTAATGATGAGACACAGCTCAACAAGGGTGACAGACTATTCCAAAGCAAGGTGGGTGAGGAAGAGACGGTAGAAATGGTAGCAGACAGCTTTGACATGGAAATAGAAGAAGATGACGTCGGTGACAGAGAAAGAGTTTAAGAGTGTGAAGCAGAATTTAAAAAAGGGAGGCAAACTAGTTTAGGCCTAATAACAAGCTCAGGAAGAATTGAACCAGGCCTACAACCTCAACCCAATCCAAAAACATTGGGCTAGTAGAACAGAACAGTGGAACCGAGGGGAAAAGAAGCATGGGGCTGTGTAAAAGGCTTGGAGAATTTACAACTGGGAGAACATTCTAGGCCTAAGGTTGAAACACAAGAGAAGGCCTCACAATGTAATGCAAAACACAAAAAAAAAAAAAAGAGTATTCTGGAGAATAGTAGCTCCTTTTGGGAGGGACTTGGAAGTGAAGATGGAAGTGTGAAGGAGTGGATGAGAGTGATGCCAAAGCAAGGCAAGCTGAAAAGAAAGAAAAAAGTCAAAGCGTGTAGCGCGGTATGCAAAAGATCAGTTCTTCTTGGAGTCATGAATCAGAAGAAGAAAGACAAAGGTAGATCTGGGTCGAGTCAAGCAGAGGAGGAGGAAACTTCACATTGTCGTCCGAGCACGAGCAACTCAGTAGTAGGGGGTTTTGTGGGGAATAGTGGCATCCAAAACTGCAATAGAAGGCTGAACAAGGTCCCCAACAAACGAATCACAACTGAATTGTGGAATTTTGCAAAGAGGATTAGGGCAGTGATAGAGGAAGAGGAGCCGGTCATCAGGAAGCTCGAAGAGATGGAGAAAAGGGATAGAGCAACAAAAGAGGTAGAAAACGCAAGAGGAGCAAGTGAAGTACAGAAGGTTAGTGAAGTAGTTAAATGAATATTCTATCCTACAATATCAGAGGGTTGAGGGGAGTGGGAAAGGTAAGAACCATCAGAGAGCTTGTGAATAAAGAAAGAGTAGATTTCCTGACAATACAGGAAACCAAGAAGTGTGGGTTAGATAGGAATTTTTGTAAAAGGTTATGGCACTCAGAAGACTTTGATTGGGTAGTGAAGGATTCCATAGGAAGGTCAGGAGGGTTGTTGTGTGTATGGAATTCTAAAGCCATCAGTGTGAAGCACGTCTGGGAAGGAGAGAACTTTATTAGTATCCAAGGGGTGTGGACTGTAGAGAATGTTGTGATCAATGTAGTCAATGTTTATTCCCCATGCCAACTTGCTGGAAAAAGAATCTTATGGCTGGAGTTAAAGAATTTAGTTCTGCAAACAGGAGGAATGTGGTGTGTTGTGGGAGATTTTAACGTAGTTCGGAAAGTTGAGGAGAAGATAGGGAGTAGAAGATTAACTACAGAGATGGGAGAGTTTGACAACTTCATTATAGAATCAGAACTGATTGATATTTCGTTAATGGGTAGAAAATTCACATGGTACCAAACAGGGGGCAGATTCATGAGTAGAATTGATAGAGTATTGCTGTCAGAGGAATGGTTATCCAGGTGGGGGGAAGCTACACAATGGGGGTTGAGTAGAACAGTCTTTGATCATTGCCCTATCTTGCTTAGACATAAGAAAGTGAATTAGGGACCCAAACCATTCAGATTCTTTGATATATGGCTTGAGCAAAAAGAGTGCAGGGAGCTAATAAGAAAAGCCTGGGAACAAGCAAATATCCAAGGATGGGCTGGGTTTCAACTTAAGGAAAAGCTGAAGATCACCAAGGAAGCACTGAAGAAGTGGAGCAAAAGCTTTGTACCCGAAATTGACAGCAGAATAAAAGAGGCCACAGCACAGATTGAGCAGTTAGATCTAAAAGGGGAGTCGGAGCAGCTATCAGATGAGGAGATTGAAAGAAGAAGACAGGCTTTGCTAGCTCTATGGAACAATATAAGATACAAGGAGAATATGCTACAACAAAAATCTGGAAAAGCATGGTTATCAAATGGGGATGCGAACACAAAGTTTTTCCATAGTTGTGTGAAGGGGAGGTGGAAAAGGAATGAAATGAATAGCATACAAATAAAAGGAACTCAGTATACAGAAGCTAGAAGAATGAAAGAGGAGATTGCTAGCTTTTTTCAGAACATGTTTGCGGAAGAACAATGGAAGAGGCCAACTTTAGAAGGAGTAAACTTCAAGAGAATTTATGCAGAAGAAAACAGCTCCCTCACTACACCCTTTACCGAAGAAGAGATTAAGACTGCGATATGGGACTGTGAAAGCTCAAAGGCACCAGGGCCTGATGGATTCAACTTCAAATTCATCAAAAGTGAATGGGAGACAATCAAAAGGGATGTCATCGGGTTTCTAGAGGAATTCCAGAGAAATGGCAAATTGGTGAAAGGTCTAAATACCTCCTTCATAGTGCTGGTGCCAAAAGTAGAAAACCCACAGAAAATTGAAGAATACAGACCTATCTTGCTTATTGGGGCGGTATATAAAATTCTTGCCAAAACTCTGGCTAACCATCTTAAGAATGTGTTGGCAGGGGTAATGGGTCAACAGCAAATGGCATTTATAAGCGGAAGACAATTGATGGATGGGGTCATGATAGCAAATGAGATTGTGGATGAAACAAAAAAGAAGAAGAAGAAAGCCTTTATGCTCAAGATTGACTTTGAGAAAGCTTATGACAAGGTTAGTTGGAGCTTCTTGGATTTTATGCAGCAGAAGATGGGATTTTCTACTAAGTGGAGGAAATGGATCATGCAGTGTCTGAAATCCAGCATGGTGTCGGTATTAGTCAATGGCAGCCCTACAAGGCAATTCATGGTTTCGAGAGGCCTTTGGCAAGGGGATCCACTGTCACCTTTCTTATTTTTAATTATTATAGAAGGGATCAACGGGCTAGCTTCAAAAGCAATACAAAATGGGTTACTGAAAGGAATGGAAGTAGGACATGGAGGATTCAAGGTCTCACACCTGCAATATGCAAATGACACACTTCTGTTTGGTGAAGCCACCGAGGAGAATGTCTGGGCCATGAAGGGTATTCTAAGAACATTTGAGCTGGTGTCGAGGCTAAAGATCAATTTTAACAAAAGCCTACTCATTGGCATTGGGGTAGAGGAAGAGTGGCTTCACAAAATGGCGTGGATAATGTGCTGTAAAAAAAGGAATATGCCCTTCAAATACTTGGGGATCCCTATTAGGGGTAGCTGCAGAAAGATTTCCTTTTGGAAGCCGCTAGTGGAGGTCTTCCACAAGAAATTAACAACATGGAAGGGTCGGTACTTATCTCTTGGCGGTCGGATCACTCTCATTAATTTAGTGCTATCCAGTCTCCTCGTGTTTTGGATGTCGATGTACTTGATCCCGAAAGGTACAATTCTTTCTCTTGATAAAATTCGTAGAAGATTTTTGTGGGGTGGGGTTGAGGGAGATAAGAAAATAAATTGGGTCAAATGGGATACGGTATGCATGGATAAAGAACTAGGGGGATTAGGAGTGAAGGACTTAAGGAAATTTAATTTGGCGCTGCTAGGCAAATGGTGGGGCAGATTAGTGAATAAGGATGATGGGCTATGGAAAAAAGTGATCTTAGAAAAATACGGGAGAGAGGGAGAATATTGGCTACGAATCAACTTGGTGGAGGGACATATGTAGATTAAACAATATTGAGTGCAAGCACGAGGGGTGGTTAGAGGAGGGGTTCCAAATTAGAGTGGGAGACGGGGGTAACATAAATTTCTGGTGGGATGATTGGTGTGGGGGAGGTCAATTGGCAAATAGATTCCCTAGGCTTTATTTATTATCTGCAGGAAAGGATTACAAAATTTCACAGTCGGGAGGGTGGCTCAACGAAACATGGACATGACATTTGGAATGGAGAAAAGGATTGCATAGTTGGGAAGAACAAGAAGTTTCAGAGCTCATGAAAATGATCAACGATATTACAATCACAAGAGGAAAAGATGATATATGGGAGTGGAGTCATAGCAAAGATGGAGATTATTCATCAAAGTCAGCTTACTAAGCACTCACAAGGGAGCACGGAACAGAACAACAACAGTTGGCTCTCCACAAAGTCTGGAACACAATTGTGCCAAACAAAATTTCAGCATTTTCATGGCAAGTGCTACAGGATAAAATACCTACAAAGATCAATTTAATCAAAAGGGGTATAACTCATGGCATAGAGGATGGCAGGTGTGACTTATGCGGTAGCCAAACAGAGGAAGCCAACCACCTTTTCATCCACTGTAGCGTTGCCCACAACCTTTGGAATGCATGCTTTAGATGGTGGGGGATAAAATCAGCTCTGGACAAAGATTGCTTAAAGGTATTCCTTTAACACTCATCCGTAATCAAAATGGCAGGGAAAAAAAAGGGCTGGAGCTGCATTTGGTTTGCTGTTGTATGGACACTTTGGTTAGCTAGAAATGAAAGGATTTT